GAAGGTGAAGAATGTTCTTTTCTCAGACAAAGTGGGAATAATATATTCTGGAAAAGAAAATAAAATAAAATAAAAAAATCTAAGTTGGATGCATGGGCTGGACCCCACATCAATGATGGTGGCTATATATTAAGGAAAAAAAATAAAAAAAAAAATTCACAAAACTTGACATTCGAAATTGTGTGAGGTTCGAAAGGGGAGGCACATGGGTACACTCTGCACTCCCACATGTGCCAAGATATATACATGTTCATTTATTTTATTTTATTTTATTATATTTATATTTATTTTATTTTTGGAAGTGATTCCAAACAGAGGTTACCTACGAAAATTCCTGTCATGAAATGCCATGTGAGGAGCTTATTTATGTTCAGACTAAAGTCCTGAATCGTAAGACCCACACCTGACATCAATGTTGCGATTCACTTCATGCATTATACCAACACTTTTATTAGTTAGCTTTTCGATTTCTTGTTTCATGCATTTAAGCCTTCAGTTTTCATGCAATTCATTTTCCCTTTTTAGATCATCATTACGTGGTTTATCTTTATTTCTTTTAGTAACTTATAAGAAGATCATTGTGGGACAATTCCAGTTAAATTGGTCAGATGAAATACACTCATAGTCTTTTTTTTTTTTTTTTTTTTTTGTTATTTTTGTTATCGGGTGATTTTGGTATAAGATTGACTCTGATACCAAATTAAAGTATGTATTAGATCTCAATTAAAAGTCTAAATTGATAGTTGAATTACACATTTATGTTTACCTATTATATATGTTCAACAGTTACAAGACGGTGTTTATTATGTGCACATTCTCATATAGTGATTGTGGATTTTCCTCTCCTCACTCAAAGAATATTCGTGGTGAAATTTAGTCAGTTATTTATTGTTGGCATGCGCTAATATAATAAATGAATTTTACTAACTCAGTTAATTATTATATTGAATTTAGATTCCCATATAATACATGGTTTATCTTTCTTTATGTAGTTTCTTCATAACATAATTCATCACAATTATTTAGCCCAACCAAAAACTATACACAACTTACAACTATAGAAATGGATATTATGCAACAATAGTTATATCATGAACCATGATGCATGTTGCTACATACACCTAATATATCTCTATTTTTTCTTATTAACTTTTTTTTTTTCAACTTAAATTTAACTCTTTTTCTTTTTGTACAAATAAAACTAATATAAAAAAATATCATTAAAAATAACGCTAATTAAGACATGAGTAAATTTTAATTTTGGTCCTGTGACTATTAGAGTCTTATTAATTGCGATTCACGACTTTAAAAACTGTCAATTAAGTACATTAACTATTCAATTTTATCAATTTTGACCACTCTGGTCAAATTGCCAGCCAAATATCACTGAAAAACTTTAATAAGTAAAATAATGAAGGTATTTTAGTCATTTTACCTTTCTTTTACGTTGACCCAGCCAAAGTATTGTCATACAATGTTTCAAAGGCTTTGATCCCAAAGCGGAGAAACCTTATGGCTCGGGGCTTGCGGCGCGGATGAGGGTATTTTAATTGCAACCCACCGTTGACCGGCAGAAGGTGCAACTCTTCGCATCCTCGCCGTAAGCCCCGAGCCATAAGGTTTCTCCGCTTTGGGATCAAAGCCTCGAAACACTGTATGACAATACTTTTCTCCATGGCCCATGATGCCACATATAAAGCAAAAGATGCATGGGAAGTCTTTCATATTTAAAGTCAATCACTGCCCAAGATCCATCATCCGGTTTCAACTTCATCTGTTTTTTTCAATGGTTTTGCAACGTCAATAGAGACTCGCACTCTATAAAACATGTGCATAGATCCATCGAAAAATGCAATTTATTTCTTATTGTTCTCCACCTAATGTATAAAACTCTTTATATCACTAGCTATTCATGAAACCGTTAAACAAGAATTTACTTATGATCCAGTCACATAAAACAATTTTTTTTTTTTTTAATCATAACATGGTATATATAATTCGTATTTGATTAATAAGTAGATTCATTTTTTAACGCGTGATTGGATAAGTCAATTCATAATAATCAATAAATTAAAAAGTATTTTATTATTAAAGTCACATGGTGAAAATCATATTAATCAAATAGAAAAAAAAAAAAAACAAATCAAGTAATATGATAATTATTACTCGATATATAATAGGTAATTTAGAAGGAATATAGCATCACTTTAAAAAAAAATACTATCATAATTGTTTTAAGACTGACACTTGGATCCAACATTATAAGTCTACAAGGTAAAACATTGATTTACATATTTGTGCGCATTGATATTTAGTTATGTCTGCTTAGCCATTGAGTTACCGTGATTTACATCTTTTTAAATATTTTGTCGAGTGAGATATGAGAGGCCTTTGAAATTGAGAATTCACAGGGCGTTTGATTGAAGAAGGAGAATTACGTGGGAAAGGAATTGCAATTCCATGGGAGATGAATTACTGGGAATAAAGTGTGAATTTAAATTCTAGTGTTTGGTTTACCGGAATAGAATTACTGGGAATTTCAATTCCAATGTTTGGTATACATGGGAATTGAAAAGGAATAAGTAGTGTAAAGTCAAAAATGTTCATTGTTGTTGTTAGGCATTAATTTTAGGTTAAAAAAAGGAAGGAGTAATTTTGACTCATCATTATCTTTTTTTCTTCCTAAAATTTCAGGAATTAAAATCCTAGGGGGGGACATGGGATTTTAATTTCATGAAAATGGAAAAATTGCAATTCCATGGAATTGCAATTCCTTTCAACCAAACAAGGGGGTCTTTGGAATTAGGTGAGAATTAAGTGGGAAGAGAATTTAAATTCCCTCCAACCAAACGCCTTGTCAGGGGTGTTTGGTTCGCAAATGGGAATCGAAATCAGAATTGGTATCAAATACTTGATCATGGTAATGAGTTTTGGTGAAAGTATCTTGCATATTTGGTAGTAGGGTAGAATGAGAATAATAAGGTTAAAGATGAATAATGGGATGAAACCCTTATAAAATAAGGGAATGTGTTTTCGGGTATTCTAAACTCATAGTAGTACTTTAAAAACCAGTCAACCAAACAATAACAATAATTTTCATATCCATACCTAAGTGATAAACCTGCCAACCAAACACACCCTCAATCTTTTGGGAGAAGACCGTAAAACATGAAATATAATGGGAGGGGACACAAAACCGTCTGTGATCCTAAAGTTACCTTTAGTTACCGAATAAATGAAGACTTGGGGTTTACTGAATTTCAATAGGTTTGCTCAATTTGGGTATTTGGATGCCGACTTTTCTTCTCCCTTTTTCACCTTTTTCCTTTTTATCGTAACTATAACAATAACAAATACTTAGTATATTACACGCAACTTTTTTTTTTTCCCATCATTTTCTTCTTCTTCTTCTTCTTTCTTTAAATTCCTTTTTTGCGGATTTTCTTTTTTCGAAATTCCATTTTCTGATTTTCTTTATGACCAACCTTCAGTCTCCACAAAGTTTCTTCCCCCATCCTATTATGGTCCTTTTGATTTAAGAAGTCCACACGTCAAAGTAGAGGAGACAAATGCCTACAAGTTATTTCCTCTTCGGGAACAGTGATACATATTTTATGATTAGAGCGTTGAAAATAATATTAAAAATCAAGAAATAAAAAGGGGTAAAGTTTACTATTTCAATTAAATCTTTCTAAGAGTATCCCCAATAGAATTTTTGAGATGATTTTCGGAAAGGTTTTTGAGACTTAAAGTTTTATGTGGAAGTGAGAGAAGGTTAGGTTCTTGCAGGAGGAGTATGTTTTTGTCTTTTTTGTCTTAAACCGGTGCGCATTAAGGGCACTAGCAATGCCAGTGGGCCCGTTGAGGGTGGTCGCCAACTGACGACCACCCTCATTTATTACTTTTTTTTTTTCTCTCTATCCTCTTTCCTACTTAGCTCCAAAAAACTTGTGTAAAAATCAAACTATTGAGGATGTACTATTAAGATAATCAATCATTTTTCTAAACAAAGCATAAGACTACTTGGGTGTATAATAAGTTTAAATGTAAATTTTAAAACCTCAATTACTTATACCAAAATATTAATTATAGTACTCCGTCATCAAATAGTGTTGTATTTGGTAGGAAGTAATTAATGTGAAAACGATATGATATAGAAGTAGGCTTAGTTTCTTGGGCGAGAGATCAGGTGAAATAGTTAAAAGTTTTTGGAGATATAGCTAGTTTATTTTATATGGTACAAATATTTAGAATCCACCTATATATTGCAACTTGTGAGTTGTCCACACTCCCGACCACTTCTATACCTAGTCTAATTCATTGGAGTTTGATGTCAAATATGATGTAGACTCTTGTATTTTGTGTGATTCTTAAAACAAAATGTATGGAAATACCAAATACTTTTTTACAATCAACTAATGTTATCAACCAGACAAATCTACTAACTCAATCAGTTAATAACCAATCAAATGCACTAACTCAATCAGCTAACAACCAGTCAAATCTACTAACCCAATCAGCTAACAGCTATTTACTGAACACGCTCAATATCTTTTTAACTTGCTTGGCAACCCGAAAAATTGAGTTGCAATGTTATATGTTATCCTAAAAAGCCATATATAGATAGACCTATTTGCAATAGAATAGGCTAAACTCTAAAGCACATAGTGTAACAAATGCTCCTTATTAGTCAAAACTCGCTAACTCAATCAGCTAACCGCTATTTATCAAACACCCACAATATCCTTTTAACCTGCCAACCCTAAATTGAGTTGCAATATAATGATATTATTATTATTATTATTATTATCCTAAAAAGCCATAGATAGAGCTAATTGCAATAGAATAGGCTAAACTCTAAAGCACAAGTAGTGTAACAAATGCTCCTTATTAGCAAAGCAAGATCACATTGCAGGTAAGAAGAATATCTGAATAAAATAGTGACACTTCACATTATATCCCCCTAATACTCGCTGGCTTCCAGTCTTGACATCTTGCCACCCCATGTTCTCCTTCCCCCTTCATGTTCCCACTCCATAACATCATCTCTTTCTCTCTCTTTCTTGCTCTCCATCCATAAGGGTACCCTCTGACTTTCTCTCTCTCTATTTCTCTCCCTTTCGATAACAGGATCGAGCAAGATAGAGCAGACCACATCATTGCATATATATTTGCATAAAGGAAACCCCATCCAGGCCAGTGATTTTGACTTTAATTTTGTACGTAAACGTTGCATGATGAACATGATTTCCGGCAACGGCATCATGGCGGCGGCGTTTGTCCCTCCCCTCCCGCCGGCGCCGGAAACTTCCATTACATTCCAAAACCCAGAAGAAACCCAATACCTCTCTCATCATCATCATCATGACTTCAACGGCGGCGGGAATAATGTTTCGTCGCTGTTAATGATGAGGAGATCGGTGTCGTTCACGGGGGGCATGGAGAGGCCGTGGGAGAATCAGAATCATCAAGAGCTTCTTAGAGGTGGGGACGATGATACGACGTCGGACGACGGGTGCTCGCAGCTGGGGGAGAAGAAGCGGCGGCTGAGCTTGGAGCAAGTGAAGGCGCTGGAGAAGAGCTTCGAGGTGGGTAACAAGCTGGAGCCGGAGAGGAAAATGCAGCTGGCTAGGGCTTTGGGTTTGCAGCCCAGACAGATCGCTATTTGGTTCCAGAACAGACGGGCCAGGTCTAAGACTAAGCAATTGGAGAAGGATTATGATTTGTTGAAGAGACAATTTGAGGCCCTCTCTGCTGACAACGATGCCCTTAAGTCTCAGAACAAAAAGCTCCACTCAGAGGTAATTCATTCTTTATTTATTTATTTATGTAGATCCATATCTCTTTTAGTGAATTAACCTGGTTTTGATACCGCTTATTAGGACCAAACGGCCAAAAGTTATAGTAATTAGTAATAAGTAGCAAATGGCATCATTTTATTTCCTTATACACTGTCATCACAGAATTAGGAAATTATAGAATTTTTGACCACCTGAAAGTAATCTTAAATCAAGTCGAAAGCAAAAAGTGGTCGGAAATAGCAACAAAGATTTTTCCGGATACCAAAAGTGGTCGGAACAAGGCTTTCAACTTGATTTAAGATATTTTCAGGTGGTCGGAAATTCCATAATTTCCAAGTGAGGATGAGGGTGCTGGACTTGGCCCTTTACCAGACTCCATCTAATAATCCCTTAGCCATATAGTGCTGAATTTGACCATTTACTAGCCTTGGATCAATAATCGTTTAGTCACATGATGCTGGATTTGACCCTGACCTGCTGACATGAATATGTATATATGTATAGTATAGTTTGATGTGTTGGTTGTTCTGGATCTCTCAGTGAACTTAGCTAGGTTGGATATAATTGAAATATGATTGCATTATATTATATTGCATGTGATGGTAGCTGCAGTTAATGGCACTGAGGAACAGGGAATCAAAGGGGAGTGGACCACCCAGCAGCACTACCATGATTATTAATCTGAACAAAGAAACAGTAGAGGGTTCTTGGAACAACAACAACAACAACGTAAGTGAGAACAACAGCATTATTGATGTTAATCTGGGCAGCGCCACCACCACAGCGGACAGCCCACTCTACTCCAACAAACATCATCATCATCATGTCTTGCCGCCACCGCCTTCCTCAATTTCCCAAACAAATCTGCATCATCATCTGCTTCACCCCTCCTCCTGCAATAATAAAGTCTCCGACCAATCTCCTGTTCAAGATGAAGGGTATTGCAATATGTTCGGCGCCGCCATGGACGAGCAGGCCGAGTTCTTGGCCATGGCCCCAGCTTCTACAACTTTTCCATTGAGCTTCTCCTTCTCCTAGAACCCCAATATGTTATGATGTATCAAATTTTAATGGGGGTTGTAGAAATAGTAGTGTTTTTCGAATTGAATTGAAGCAGGCAGGGAGGCAGGGAGGCCACTTGGAATGGATCGAAAAGAGAATATAATTAAAAATGTATGTATTTATGTATGTGTGGTACAGATAAGGGATCTGTTCATGTTCCATGCAACATCAGAAAATGCTGCTTTAGTGGGTCTCTCTTCTCTGGCATGGGTCATCATATACTTGCTGTTGTTTAATTAATTGATCAAAGAAAGAAAAGGGGGAAAAAAAGGTTAGTTGGATTCTCGTCTTGTATTTATTACTGCTGGCTTAAGGCTTTTCACTTACTCGATCTTAATTGCCTGCCGGCCACCTCACACATTTCTACCTTTCATTATTTTAATCTATTTTTTTATTTAAAGAAGTTTCTTTTCATCATCAGAATCATATTACATTATTACGGAGTTTTTTGTTTTTTGTTTTTTTTTTTTTTTTTTTTTAAATAGCGCATTTACCGATGTATGTTTGTGTTTGTGTGCTAAAACTGTAACGGCTAACTATGGTGTGCATCCGTATGCACCATACAGATGTAAAAACGACGTCGTTTTATTAAAAACGCGCGTCTTCTCTTAAAAAAAAAAAATTCAGGTTCGATTCCCAGCAATAACATTATGTTGTTCATTTATTCTGGAATTTTAGTTCATAGATTATGGAATTTTAGTTCATTGATTCTGGAATTATAGTTCATCGATTCTGGAATTGTAGTTCATCGATTCTGAAATTTTAGTTCATAGATTTTGGAATTTTAGTTCATTCATTCTGGAATTTTTAGTTCATAGATTAAATTCTGGAATTTTAGTTCATAGATTCTGGAATTATAGTTCATCGATTCTGGAATTTTAGTTCATATGTTGTTGCTGGTAATCGAACCTGAATTTTTTTTTTTTTTAAGGAGAGACGCGCGTTTTTAATAAAACGACGTCGTTTTTGCATCTGTATGCACCATGCACAACATAATTTGCAACTACTGCTATACTGGCCTATGACCCGCCCTACACATACGTAATTTAACGAATCAACATTATATTGTGATTATATTATAGGCAAATTATGTCATGGACCCTGGTCGACCTTGCAAGGTGGACCCAAGTTCAAAACGACGCATGCACGTAACTTTGCACGTCTGGAATAACAATGTTGTTAGTGGCACTGTTTCCTCAGTCAATGATGTTCTTTTGTGTGTGTCTGTGTGTGTGTGTGTGTGTGTGTGTGTGTGTGTGTGAGTATAGAGTTCAAAAATTGTGAATATAGATACAAAAATTATGCTATATTGTTGATATAATTGTGATTTGTGAATATAGAGTTCAAAAACTGCAAATATAGAATTATGTAATTGTGAATATAGAGTTATGCAATTGTGAATATAGAGTTAAAAAATTGTGAATATGGAGTGCACTTTTTTTATTTAATTCAAATAACGTCGTTTTGAAGCAAAACGATGCCCTTTTTGGATCGGGGTCCTGGCATAACAATTGTATATTATAACTAGTCATTTCAAGTGAAAATATATTTTTCAATTGGATTTATAGAATCTTTATTTCTTTACAATCGATCTTATGGTTATGGCACAATATGTAAATTCACTTACATGGCATATGGTTGGAGGGGGAATTACGTGGGAAAGAAATTGCAATTTCATGAGAGATGAATTATTTGGAATAAAGTGTGAATTTAAATTCCAGTCTTTGGTTTACAGGAATAGAATTACTGGAAATTTCAATTTCAATGTTTGGTATACATGGGAATTAAAAGGGAATAAGTAGTATAAAGTCCAAAATGCTCATTGTTGTTGTGGTATTAATTTTAGATTAAAAAAAAAGAAGGGGTAATTTTGTCTCATCACTAGTTTTTTTTTTTTTTCCTAAAATCCCAGGAATTAAAATCCCAAGGGGGACATGGGATTTTAATTCCATGAAAATGGAGGAATTGCAATTCCTTCCAACCAAACTAAGAAATTTTATGGTCTTTGGAATTAAGTGGGAAGAGAATTTAAATTCCCTCCAAGCAAACGCCCTGTTATACTAGAATTCCGCAATTGTCTAGGCATGGATTATTATACGGCTTGTTGAGCTGAGGCTAGTGAAGGACTAAGTCCAACACCAGGTGATTAAGAGGATTGTTAGGCGGAGGTTTAGGACAAGTTCAACGACCGAAATGTGACTGTATAATGAAATAAAGTTGTGCCTTTGTTATTAGCTATAACTTTTGGCGTAGTGGTATACGCTTAATCTAACAAATGGTACTAGAGCCAAATAACTTGTGCAGTTAAGGCTGACAAGTGTTAGGAGAAGGGGAAAATTGTTGAGTGGAAGCGGGTGAAGGGACTGGCATTTAATTCAATAATTTTTCTCGTAGATAATAGACTAACATGAATCTAACGAGTGAAAAATCAATAAGGATCATAATAAATATCTAAATGGCCTAGAAGGTGGATTAATCCGTCCACGAATGTTGCCCTGCAACCTTTGCATAAAAATAGGCGATTCATGTCCAATCTTAGTATGCGACAGGCGTACAGTATATTTACCTTCGCACAAGCAACACATGTAAACATATTTGGCGAAAGTAGATGGATCTCGAAAGGTTATATCCAACAGAATTAGTTATGATTCGACCCATCATATTTTGTCAATGATGACCCAGACAGTCATGCCACAACTGAAAGGAATGTGGATTTTTGAGTTTCATGGTTAGTGCAACACACAAATTACTGGGTTGTATATGGGTATAATATAACCCAAAAGATAAGGAGGTAAGTTCCTCAACTTCTTGTTTTTGACCAGTGATCAACTAAGTCATGATTAAGAACTTCTAACTGTTTTTAGTCTTGGTTTCGATATGGAACAACTATTTGATCGAATATCCTTGAAACTCAGTAAGGTTCGTTTAGATTGGAGATACAATAAAGCATTTTCAATTAGTAACTCTATACCGAGGATAATTTAAGCTCTTCTGGAGCTGTACCTCATCATTAGTAATAGTAGTGATATTGCTATTCATTTTGTTCAAGGTACAGAAAAATCTCATATCCGTAAGGATAATATGTGTGGTAGCACTATCCACCAAACACAATGTTGGTTAATGGTCCATTGTGCAGACAATAGATTTCGTAGTGTTTTACGATTTAAGAGGTAAAATCTGAAAATCATATCAGAGAAGTAAAATTTGAGGAGTAAACTACGAGAAGTAACCCCTTCAAAAGTAAAGTTGTTATAAGAAGTAAAGCTCGAGAAGTAAAATTCCTTCCAGGGAATAAAGCTTGAGAAGTAAAATTCTTTATGGGAAGTAAAGCTCGAGAAGTAAAAATCCAAGAAAGAAAAAAATCATTCGAAGAGTGAGGTCCGAAAAAAAAAAGAATCGAAAAGTAGATCCGAAAAATAAATAGAATCGTTATGTTGTGCATCCGTATGCACCATGCATGGTGCATACGGATGCCAAAACGACGTCGTTTTATTAAAAAACGCGCGTCTCCCCTTTAAAAAAAATTCAGGTTCGATTTCCAGCAACAACATTATATTTTTCATTCATTCTGAAATTTTAGTTCATAGATTATGGAATTATAGTTCATTGATTATGGAATTATAGTTCATCGATTATGGAATTGTAGTTCATCGATTCTGAAATTTTAGTTTATAGATTATGAAATTTTAGTTTATTCATTCTGGAATTTTTAGTTCATAGATTAGATTATGGAATTATAGTTCATCGATTATGGAATTATAGTTCATATGTTGTTGCTGGGAATCAAACCTGATTTTTTTTTAAGGGGAGACGCGCGTTTTATTAAAACGACTTCGTTTTTGCATCCGTATGCACCATGCATGGTGCATACGGATGCACAGCATAATTTGCCGATGTATAGTTAACTTTTTGGATGCAAGATATGTACAATTCGGCCCAAAAATAATGCAAGGCAAAAAGATATTTACTCTTCGGTCAAATATGCAAGGCAAACATGATCCACATTATCATTAGCTCATTATTGCCTTACCTTTATCATATTTGCACAAAGACAGAAAGCGAAGAGTAAAAATACAAATCATCCAATGTGATTAAAAACAATCCGAAAAAAAACCCATAGACATTAAGTCATAAAAAGGTCAATATGAAAAAACATAAGATCATGTCCCAAAAACACATACAGGCCAGGTCACACATGATCACCAAAGTCTTCAAGCTCATATTTCAAAAGATCATCATCATTATTCATCACCGCATTTACTTCGGGTAAATCAACATTAGTGTGATGAGATTCTTTTCTCGATAGTTGCTTATCATTTTTCTTTTGCATTATATTATACACTTCAATCAGTTGCTTTGGTGTACGGCACGTACAAGCCCAGTGTCGGCCTTCACACCCACACCGAAAGCAAAGTTGTTGCCTCGATAAACCTTGATCACTCTGTTTCTTATCTTGGGTCTAGGAGTCATTGTTGCCTTTACCTCTACCAATTTGGTTACTTCGACCGCGACCTCTTTCACGACCCCTTCTAGAACTACTTCCCTGGGCAATATTATGTGCTTCGGGCATTGGGGAAAAACCGACCCGTCGTGCATTATGGTTTTTCATCAACAACTTGTGTGTGCTTCTCAGCCACAAGAAATACTGATATCAGCTTAGAATGCTTTTCATAATTCTTTGCCTTGTACATAAAAAGTAGACAAAGTTTTTTCAATTAAATTTTTCTCTGAAACTTCTTATTTGCATAGCTTTAATTAGTTATGAGACTATTTTATGAAGAGCTAAATTGTAATTCTTATAATCTTGAAATCTAATATTAAGCCAGTCAAATTACGCTTGTGGAATGAAGGACAATTGATGACTATTGGTCAAAATGGTCCTTCAGGGACTTCTATAATGCAAAAGGGTCCTCTTCAATCATGTATTCATTTTTCAGGTTGTGATTCAAATGGTGACGTAAGAAAATGAGAGTTTGCACCTTCTGGGCATTAGTACATTGTGACTTAACAACAATTGTTTGGCTCAACCCCTTAAGAAAAATGTTCCCAAGTTTAATTAGATGCGAGATGAATCTCAATGTCTAGAATCCAAGTTAAATAGTTGCTTCTGTCAAGTATGAGCTCAATAAATTCTCGTTTGGTGATACAAGACATGATCTACAAAATCATATTGTCCATGCAAATTATACTTACAGAAAATAATAGTCGGTATTCATGTGAAAAATATATATCTTGCAGGCAAATTCCAAATAGAATGTAAAAATGAAATATTTCACATGTT